TCGGCCTTTAGCAGCCCTTACCGGGTCTGCTCGTCCTCTCTCCCCCTTTTTCTCTCGCTCTCCATCTCTCCCCCCACCCTCTGCCTTCGCCTTTCTTCCTCCCTAAGTCTCCCGCCCGCCCTCTCCTCCCCACCCCTCCCCTCCCCTCCCCTCTAGGGGGCGGAGCTTTTCCCCTCCCTCCCAGACAATGCTGTGGCTGCGCGTCCCCCTCCCAGGCCGCTAGTCCGAGCTCCTGCTGCCAGCGTGTTTTCCGGGCTGGGGCTGGGGGACTGGCCGGTGGGGAGGATGCGGGGACTCCCGTCGCCCCGCTGCTGCTGCCCTCTCCAAGCGGCATGCAGACTTGGCCCAAGCTCCTCGGCTCGCCCGCACTGTGACAGCCACTCCCAGGGAGCAGTCACGCTACTCCACTGAGCCTACCTCGAGGGCCCCGGAATCCCCCAGGCGGAGGATGTGAGGTCTTTTCTTTTTCCTAACAGCCAAATTCATCCCCAAAAGGATCTGAGCTGGGCATGGGGCTAAGCAGGCGCCTTGGACTTGGCGGGCCGGCAGACGTGACAGCAATGTGAAGGAGGCCAAGTTTCTTTGTCCATCTCTCACCTCCCCCTCTTTTCCATCCCAGGACCTCCGGAGCTCCCAGCGCACGGGAGGCCCTTGAGCAGCCCTGCTGAGCGTTCCCCATTTGTTTCCTCCCTCTTATCAGAGCTCTCTCCCCTCTTGCCCCCAGTCCCGCAGAGCCGGTCCCCACCCAAAGGGGAAGGGAGCCTAATGGTTAACGGGTGGCCACCCCAAGGTACAGCCAGACCAGCTCATCCAGCCTGGAAACCGAACGTTCTTTACTAAATTCATTGTTTGGATCTTGGAATGTGTCTCCCTTAGAAACAATGTTATAAATGGTGCTCTGCTTCCCAGGCCTGCCACAAAACTGTTGAACCCAAAATGCAGCTGTAGGGTGTTGCTGAGAACTGTGTCAGCTATCCCGGAACAAGGAAGCCACTGACAGCTTTTTCTATGGGGGAGGGGGGGAAATAAATATATAAATAAATAAATATATATATATACCAGTTATTTTCCTTTGAGCTATAAACACTACAAATTAAATAAATTAAAGTTGTCTCATTAAGTGTCCCCCTCTGGAGCACCTATTCTATTAGTTAAGCCCTTTTCCTTTGCAGGTAACAGGAATACCCTCATAGGAAGGTATTTTGAGGACACAGCTACAGGGAGACCTCACCCCATAAGAGGCAAATCCAGAGCCAGAAGGGCTTCCAGTAACCCAGAAATTCTTCTCTAAGGGAATCTGTCCTCTCTTTCATCACAGACTGGCCTTTCTTGCTCCTCAGACACATGAAAAAGAGCGATCATGACTTCCAATATGCTGGGGCTTCAAACTCTGCTGTTCATGAAAGCAGCCAGTTGCTGCTGGAATCTCTCAGTGTCTACTCCAGTCTCCCAGGAGAGCTGCTCGTTGGCTCACCCTGGGTCAGGTGACCATCCTATGACCAGTCATCCGGCGCTAAGTGTGGGCTCAGGTTATACAAACTGGACTGCCAGAAACCCTGACCCAAGGTCCGACTTAAAACCCTGTTTAAAACAAACCCAATAGTAGAGAGCAGCTTATGTATCTTGGTGAATAAATTGATTGATTAATTCAAGACACCAGAAAACATCTGAACATTCATCAGTTTTTCCATTCTAAAGCCATAGGAAAGAAAGAACTAGCCTCCACCCTTCATCCTTTAAAAAGACAGACTAGGAGCCGGGCTCAGTGGCTCAGCCTGTAATCTCGCGCCTTGGGAGGCTGAGGTGAGTGAATTGCATGAGCCTGCGGGTTCGAGACCCGACTGGGCAACTTGGCAAGACCTCATCTCTACAATAAATCAAAAAAAAAAAAAATTAGCCGGGCGTGGTAGCACGCGCCTGTAGTTCCAGCTACTCGGAAGGTTGAGGCGGAAGGATCGCCGGAGCCCAGCAAGTCGAGGCTGTAGTGGCCCGGAGCAGCCACTGCACTCCAGACTGGGTGACGGAGTGAGACTCCAACTCAAAAAAAAAAAAAAAAAAAAAGACAGACTAGGGCAGCACATCTGCAACAAAGATAATATTTTGCATATGTTAAACTAACAATTAAAGTCAAACCATGTTTTCTTGCAGCCTTCTTCTACCTGTGGGGGCTGGACCAGGAAGCTCATGGCCCAGGAAGCTACAGGTGAGTATTTGCCTAGAATTCTAAAATTCTCCAATAGGAATGCAACTTGAGCCACAAGTGCAATTTTAAACTCTCCAATGACCGTGTTAAAATGGTAAAAAGAAACAGGTGAGATTAACTTCGATAATATATTTTAACTCAATTGGACTCGGTGGCTCAGCCTGTAATCCCGCGCCTTTGGGAGGCTGAGGTGAGTGGATTGCCTGAGCCCATGGGTTCGAGACCCGCCTGGGCAGCGAGACCTCATCTCTACAATAAATAAAACAAAATCAGCGAGGCGTGGTAGTGCATGCCTGTAATTCCAGCTACTTGGAAGGCTGAGGCGGAAGGATCGCCGGAGCCCAGCAGGTCAAGGCTGCGGTGGCCGGGAGCGGCCACTGCACTCCAGTCTGGGCAACAGAGTGAGACTCCAACTCAAAAAAAAAAAAAAAAAAAAAAAAAAAAAAAATATATATATATATATATATATATACATATATATATATTTTAACTCAATACTATCATGTCAGTATGTAATCAATATAAGGACCTTATTTAGGAGCTATTTTGCATTCTATTTTCGTACTAAGGCTGAATTCCGGTGTGTTTTATGCTTCAGCGCATCTCAATTCAGATGAAATCTTCACCAAAAATAATTAATCTGTATTTAGATTCTAGAAAACTTCCAGTTGAAAAACCAGATTCAGACTCTCCAAATATACATAAATGCTTCCCGATAACTGAATTGAGTATCAATGTATAAATTTCCATTTTAATTAATTGTGAATAATTACAATTTACTGGAGCACTAGCTACATCGCAAATGCTCAACAGCTACATGTGACTAGTGGTTATGTGGTTGGGACAACCCAGGTTTAGAGAGTAAGGAGGCCTTGAGCTTGGAGTCTCAAAGCTTGACTTCCTTTTTTCTTTAGCAAAATGGTGGCGGAGGGCCAGGCATGGTAGCACACACCTGTAATCCCAGCACTTTGGGAGGCAGAGGCAAGAGGATTGCTTGAGTCCAGGAATTCAAGACCAGCCTAGGCAACATAGCGAGACTCTCGTCTCTACAAAAATCAGGAAAAAAAAATTTTTTTTTAATTAACTGGGCATGGTGGCACGCACCTGTAGCCCCAGATATTTGGAAGGCTGAGGCAGGACTGCTTGAGCCCAGGAGGTTGAGGCTGTGGTGAGCCATGATCGTGCCCCTGCACTCCAGCCTGGGTGACAGAGTGAGACCTTGACTCAAAACAACAACAACAAACAAACAAAAAACAGTGGCAGGAATGTCAAACATGACCAGAAAGAAAATGAGTTTCCACATTTTACAGTCTTCTATAACATCTTGAGAGGCACTAGATCGGAGTTCTCCTGCGTGCCTGGGAGGAGGATATGCAGAAAACTGGGCAGCCCAAAGCCCTCTCTTCAGTTCCCAGTGGATGCTGAAAAAAGGAAAGAAGAAGCCAGGGAGACAGGAAGTCCAAGATGCTGCATGGTCTCTATTTGTGACCTCTGACCTCAGAGCAGTGGTATGTTGGCAGGTTAAGGCAAGTTCTGGGGATACAATAAAGGGCATGACCACACTGGCTGCCCACTCCCTTCTGTATTCTTGGGCACTAACCCATGGGAGCAGACTCATTCGAACCAACTTCATGGATCACCATGGCTACACAGAGGTAAGGCCTGGGTTTAGCTTCCTGGAGTTACCCATAATCCTTGTGTGACACAGGCATGATGTCGAAGTTCCCACCTGTTCCCAAGGACCAGGGGCTTCAGAAGGAAGCTGAGTTGTGTGAGCCACGGGCTTCCACAGGGCCTGTCTTGGTTTGAGTTTCCTCAGGAGCAGAACCTGAGACAATGACTTGGGACCCAGAAAGCAAGAATGAGGGAAGGAGAAAGTGGGAGAGTGAGACAGGGAAGCAGGAGGAGCCAATAAAGGTGCATTAATGGGTAGATTCCTGCTGTGGACAGCTGGAGCTTGATACCTCCAGGCACCCTCTGAGGAACTATGCAAACTGTGTAAACCATGTAAAACCCTCGTATCTGAAGGTCAGACGGTTGGGCATTGGTCTGCTGTCTCCCATCACCCGCCTTGTTGAGTATTCCTCCAGGGAGAGCTTACCTTCTCTTACTTCCTGGCATGTGTGGACTTGTTTGGCCTGAGACAGAAAAGCAGAAGCCACTGCCATTGTCCCTTGAGGTGGGATAGTCATTGTTCAGGGAGCTGTCCACCACAGCTAAGCTGGGATGAGAAGTGGCCTGCGGGGCTGTGACACAACATGCAAATCATCTCTACTCTAAGTCCCAGCATGGAGAGAGGTAGGTACACCTGGAGGCTAGGTCAGGGGCTAGCTGGAAGACATGATGGGGACCCAGAGGGTGCATTGATGAAGGTCAAGTTAACATCAAGATGCAGAGCCTTGAAGGAGCCTGGAGCACCCAGACTTTGAGCCTCACAAACTGCAGACATCAGCAGTGGATGCCAGCCAAACCCTCGGTGATGGAACTAGTGCCCCTCAGCATTCTGTTCTCCAGGAAAGGTCCAGAGCTGGCCCTCTGCAGCAAGGCGCAGGGAGAACCCAGAACCTTCCCTGTGATGCTGAGCACCTGCCTTACATGCCACCACAAGAGAAAGTAAAACACAACCAGTCCCAAAGATGCATATTGAAAGAGCTGTGAAAGAAGGAAGAATGGAAGAACTTCGGGATAATTTTACTTAAGGAGACCAGAGGAGCTATTTCAATTATTGCATCAGACTTCATTTATCAGGCTAATATTATTGTTGTTGTTGTTTTTCTCTGCTACACAGTAGGTGAGAATCTACAGAGGAAAATCCAATGAGATACAGAGAAATAAGGAAACCTAAGCAGGGTCTACCCGTGGGCTGCATCCTCCTCTGGGCACATCTGGCACTCTAGTGTGGTGGGCAGGCTGGACA